GTCTTCAGCCCCTTTTTTCACTATTTAAAAATATTCGATAAGTCGGCCAATCTATATAATTTCTCGATAAGACCTAAGTCGGTTATAGCTGGTTAATGTACAACAAATGTAACAAAGCATTGACCACATTGTGTACTCTACATCCTTTTTAGAGGTATCAATATTGTATACCTCGATAAGTCAGTCACGTGATAAAAATGTTCTTCTATTGGTTAAGAACATTGAGTGACAGCAACGACGATTTGTAACTGGTGTCAAATATGAAATGACTTTATATCGATATTTAGCATAGATTGTTCCTAAATAAGAGACTTACAAAATCAAATAAGGAAGAAACAAATTAATTCAATGAAACTACTTTAAATTATATTCGGTTAGGTCACGTGCCCTCGTTAATCGGCCAAAATAGCCCACTTTATCGAGTAATACTCAAAGGTAGAAACATTCTGGAGTTAAAGTCTTCCTATGAGACTAGTTATGTACTCCTTGCGTATCAATATGAAGTGAGTCTTCCCATCGACTATAAGGTTTTGTTCCGATATATAGTGTAATGGAAACGTGCACTTATAGTAAATGTGGAAATATGCATTCAAGATGTTTAATAGGTGTTACGGCCAACACTTGCTCGTTAGTTCTACCATATCGACTACTTGGCCGAGAAAAAACTCTTATTACGGAATAATATCATACTAGGATAGCGACTAACGTCTTTTAACAGAGAATATCAAAAGCAAGACTGACGTGACTTCACGAGAATTGTTTATAATGAGAAACTACGCGATAACTAGAAGTGTTAGACAAGCAGAGTGGGTTTGACAATAGTGGCAGCACATGTTCACATAATTTAACGTGCAGTCTATTACAAAAGTTGATAACGTTATTATCTTTTTCCTTAGAAAAGAAGTAATAATAAAAAGGTGAATAAACAGCCTCATAAACAGACATCTGGATCTAATGACACTTGCATCGTTGACTTACCTGGAAAATTATTAGCCTTACTATCTAAATCATACAGAAAGAAAGCCGGTTAACGTAAATGATAAAAGTACATTGAAAAGAACACAAGCTTACGTCTTCAAATGAGGTAGAGGTATGTTGATAATAGTTAGAACTTTTTGTATGTTTCAGATCACCCTAAAGATTAAAAATTAGAGCATGACAAGAGACCGTTCTCAAAAAAGTTTGCATACCCGTTTATAGTTAGTTTATGGAGGTAAATCTGTTTACTATTGTTCCTTGAGTATGATATTCGGTAAAACAGTAGTAATCTTCATGTTCATACTTTAATTTCATCCCATGTTAAACTTAAAGATTGCCCGCACCCCAATGGGTTTAGCTTCAATTTGACTAGAAGACTAGAATGACAAGGAAACTTGGAAATCTTTCCTCACCACTTAATTTCATTTCTCTTGCCAAATCACACTGTGTGTTAAATACATATTTCTTCAGTGTTCAAGCGGTAGCCATCGAGTTCGCCTACAGAATTTGCAAACGTTTTCGATAAGATACATAAGCAAATCTGATTCTAAAACTAGCCAGTTTCTTTACGCCCCTTTGTCCGTTCGTGTCCTCCAATTATTTGTTGCAACGTACACTGGGGCCACTTTCATTACTTAATTGTAGCTACGATATTTTTATTCTTGCAATAATGCTAGTAAGAAGCAATAGATGGAAAACTTACGTTACTTGAATATGCCCAATTCGAGGTCGCATCTCTTCGAAGATAATGCCTTTCTCGTTAACGAGTTCTGTAGTAATTTTACTATTATTATGATAGTCGCAGCCCTTGACCGTCAGATATAATAAGCGTCAGGATAATCTGATTAGGTAGTGGACGTTAAAACAATGATGCAAGTGTCAATCGCATTATATCCTATTAAAGCTTCAAAGAGAAATAAATTATCAGAAATGATGAATGACAATTATAATAAATCCGTATAGTTTGAGTGTCAAGCTAAGGTTATTATAGAAAACTTGTTGTTTTTTTTGATACCAATGGAGTGTTTCGGATAGAAAAATAGCAATAGTGTATATGGACAGCAACACAACGTTTACAGGCACTTGCTTTAATAGGTTTAGTAACCAAGCTACTTTTTCGCTTTCAGCATACAAGCGATGGAGTAAAAACGCCTGATAAAAGAGTAGACATAACATACAGTGATAAGCAGACGTGTTGATACCAAACCCAAATTTAGTTTGCCTAATTTATGCATGATAAAAGATAAGACAAAAGAGTTATGTGAAGAACCAGGAATTGCACTTTTGACAAAATGGGAAAAGGGGTGACTGTTTACATACGCGTCCAACTCACATGTACGCGTGTAATATTTCAAGGCGCCGCAGCATAAACAATTGTAAAACGGGGAATATATGTAAAGTATTATTATTACGCGCAACCCAATCGGAAGTCCCCCGTCCCATATCTCGGGATATTTTCGCAATAAGTATAAATACCTGGGTTCCCCTCCATGGATGCCAACAAACAACTGTACATAGCCCTTAGTCCTACTGGTTAGGATATTCACCCCTACTGGTTAGGGTATTCACCCCTACTGGTTAGGGTATTCACCCCTACTGGTTAGGGTATTCACCCCTACTGGTTAGGGTATTCACTCAAGGCGCCTATTTGATATGCCGCCACCTCAGCTCGCGAGTGAGGGATGTTTACGAACGTGGTAAATGTCAGGTGAGCATTATCAAATACAATTTTTAAATGCGATGTCGCATAATAATAATTTTTTGTAAAGTCCTTAAATGGTTTTGATCCCAAAGATGGTTGATCGATTCTGTTTAGGCAAACCCACTTGATATGCTGCCACCTCAACGTGGTAAGTGGGTGACAACGTTTATTTGCTATAATGAACGGCGAAGAGCAGCATATTAATAACAGTCACGATTCTTAATGGTTGGGGGAGATAGAATTAATTCATCTTATGTTTAAATAATGACGTATGTTCCTCCCATAATAGTAACTTCGATAGTGTTACGAGGATTTTTAGATCGGGAGATGTCATATCGTTCGAAAGTGAATCCACATCAATAATAGCGTAATCAGTAAATAATCTACTAGTTAGGAAAAACTGACATCTCGAATAGTTATATAAGAAGCGAAACTCCGTTAGATTTGGTGTGTTCAATTACTTTCAATTATAAACGATTAGTTCTTTACACTCTGAAGTACATTACGTTCTCTGGTTATCAGTACAGTCGTGAACCGCTAATCCCTATATCGATTAGGAATATCCGCCTTTCCGTGGATATTCTCGTGGCATTATGATTGTTATTCACCTAAGTGGAAATGCATTTTAGATAGATACCAACCTATATATAGGCCTCCGAATTAATTCCATCGGAAGAAAATAATCGATTAACTTGAGGGCAAATAACTGTCTAGGAGTAGTAAAGAGGTCATTTTTACTAGAAGTAGGAGAAGCCACAGCTCCGTTTGAAAATAGTTAAACGTATTAAATACTGTGCTTATTTCCCAATTATTTTATTGGTTAGATAGGGCAACGGACGATCACGTTTGTTACTTAAACAAGTTTAGAACTCGTGATTAGCTCTGTACCAGCCCCTATTATAATGAACGGAAAACACTGCTTATCATCGAAAAGTGGGAATGCTCAATCAACTTCCAACAGAAATCATTTCACAGATATTTCTCCATCTATCAGATTCGTCTATTCCCACACTCAATGCATGTCTGCTAGTATGTAGAACGCTCTGCCATCATGCGATGCCTATGCTTTGGAAGTCACCATTCGACTACGTTGCATCTGACTTGATACAGATAACCAGAAGAGCAAAATGTCTAATACAAATATATTTATCATCTTTATCGTCAGAAGACAAACTATTACTCAAACAGCTTGGGTTCGAGTTTGAAGACAACTCCCCTCATTTATTTAATTATGCTTCGTATTTGGACGAATTGCATTATCTGGCGATATCGCGGACAATGCAAATGTATTTTCTGGGAGTAGTGTTTAGGCATTCCAGAGACGTCGAGGATACCTTGATACAACATCTTTTGAAGAGTAGCGTACAATTTTATTCAGTACGATATAGTATTTGCGCTGCCACTTTTCCTTATTCTCACATTTACCGTCACTTAGCCCTTCTCTCCAAGCACACCTCAATTCGTAACCTGAAGTTTGAGTATACTTACCTCTCCGTTACCGAAGCCAATGCGTATTCTAATGTTATATCTAGCATTATCAAATCACAACGTCCCGGATTAAAATCGTTCAAGTTAGAGGCCGATTATCACAAAGCGGGAATAATTGCCGAGGCATTGGAAACACAAATCGGAAAGTTGGAAACTGTTGCCCTTGTCCGTTGCGATTTTGTGGATTTCGGATTGAGAGAATGGATGGAAAAAATGGCTAGAGCTGGGGTGCGAGTAAAAGTTAGGGACTGTAGGCTAGCCAATCCGTCAACTGGAGAAGAACCAATAGAGAATTTCGTGTTGCTTAAGTATTTATAACGTAGAATTAATATGGAACACACAAATGCTAAATACATAAACTGCGGGTTTATCACGCAATGTGAAAGGGAGAGAAGGAAGATAAGGATAATGGAGATTAATAAGAAAGGAAACCCGAATCGAGTTTATTAAAAACTGCAACCGCAACGAATTTAATAATAGCTGATACAGTAGATGCAAAGCAAGAGTTGAATTTTGTTTTCCTCGTGATTATTGATCACATTGGGTCTGCAAGTCTACTTAAAAGTTCTTATCTATCACGTTCCATAAGCTTTCCTCGCGTCTCAGTAGAACACAAAGTTGATTCTTTGTTCCACGAATATACTACTATTGGATCATCAGACGAACTACTTGACTCCGTTGGTAGTGATGGTCTTTTTACCCGTCGAGGGGTGGCGTCTTGAGAGGGAGCTGATGGAGGAGTACTTGTGTTTGCAATCGGGGAATGACGAGTTCTAGCATGAGCAGATGCACGTGGTTGATGGTTTTTTGGAGTATTGTTCGATTCTTGGTTTGTTCTTGTTGGCTTTGGGCAATTATGATTAGAATATAGCGTGGTTGACAATTTTTAATTCCTAATAAATTAGTAATTGATTACTCACTTCAGTATCACTAGATACGCTACATTCGCTGTCGATATCGCTCTCGTTATCAGGGTGATTGCTGCGTTTAAGTCTCTTTAATTCTTTTTCCATTTGCAGTTCTTTCGGTCTCGTCTGTTGCTTTGTCTTTCCTTTGTTATTATCTTCATTAGCATTATTGACACAATGATTATCCCTGTTGCTATCTACTTTAGCATTTTCCACGATGCTTTTTTCGTCAATGTCGATCGCTTCTCCAGTGATAGTACGTGCGGCCGTCTTGTTACGGGTATTGGTTTTGTCTGCTAATGCTCGACGCGGTTCACGTCGAGATTTCGGTGTCGATGGTTGATCATTAATGGAAACATTGTCTTCTTCATTAGATGGTGATTCGAGATTGGGGACAGAACGGTTCCTGTCTTGAAAATAGCAAGGGTTGTTAGACGGTAGATGATTGTCGCTATTCAGAAACAGTAAGTGCCCCCAACCCAATTAATTTAAACGTCGAAACGTTAAAAAGAAAATACACCTTCACTTTTACATGTGACCAGTGCCTTTATATAATTGTTACGCGGCTTCCCCACCGTTGCATTTGACCTCTTTTGGTATTTGTATTTGTTTGTAGTTGACATTTGGTGATACGACTACACGGCCGCTAACTTCGTAAGAAAATTTGTAAGTTGTAATGCACGTGCTTGACGTGTCACTTTCAGTCGTGTGTTACGACCATTATCGTAGTACACTCATCAGATGATGCACGTTCCACTTTACATCTCGGAACATTCTCTCGCCAAACGTTCCCTCTCTGTTCTCCCCCATCGCTACTCTCGTCACAATCCCATAATAATAAAATTGTGATGACACCCACACTTCCGCAAGAGGTCTTAACGGAAGTAATGAAACATGTTGGCGAAAATGATTTAATGACACTTCAGAGAAGCATATTGGTTTGCCGACATTGGTGTCGAGCGATAGTTCCTCTCTTATGGCGGAAGCCATTTCACCATACCCACCGTAATGCAGCCGGAAAAAGAAAGCTCATTCCAGTGTACTTAGCTTGCCTTAAAGAAGAAGAAAAGAAATACCTCACTGCAAATGATTTTTCTATACCGAAATCGAAACCGGCCTTATTTAACTATATTACTTATCTTCAATGGCTAAATGATTTTTATGTGTTGGAAGCTATTTCGACATGGAGTCGTAAAAACCGGAAACGCAGGCTTCTTGCCCAGTTACTTGTCAACAAATTTATAACAGAATGCCCCAAGCTTCGATATCTGTACATTCATACACTCCAACAGTATCGCGAGTCAGACATTTTATCCAAGATTACATTATATCATACTACACTCGAAGTACTACATGTGAAAGAGATAACGCGATTTGTATCCGAGACAGAGAATGATTTGATAGTGGACTTGGTTAATCTGATAAAATCTCAGCGGGCGCTAAAAGAGGTAGTCTTGGCCGGTGTATTGAATGGAATCGATAAGTTGGTACTGTCGTTAAGAGCCAAGCATTCTCGGTCACTGAAAAAGATCAAATTTGAAGATTGCGATTTTAGAGTTAAGGGAGAAATCTGGGACTTGGTGAGCGGATCTTTTGTTAATTTAGAGCTGTTGAATTTCTATGGATGTTACGGCTTGAATACAAGTACTTTGCACATGTGGACTAAAGGCTTGAAGGCGCAAATTCATATCGATTTTTCAACCGTAGAGTTGTCCGCGAGATAAAGAGTTTGTCTGTAATACTAATTTAAACAACTAATAACGAGGGAAGACTTGGAAACCACCGATGTATAGTTTATAAACTCAGTTCTTTTATTCAATAATGATGTAATTTAAATAATTTAGATTTCATGATATCCGTCAACTCCTTGGGCATAATACACGTAGAAATGATCTGAGAATCATACGCTTTGTATATTGAAATAAAATATTTGGGTCTATTGTAATGAAGCCAAATAAACTCGAAACAGGGTGCATTTCTGATTTATGACTTGTTATTATATCAGAGAATTGATATGTACAGATAATCAGGAGTATCGTAATAGTTTTATCTATTCCAATAAGAGCCCTGTTACTCCAGTCTGTTGACAATAGACCTACAAGAGACCTTTACTATTATATGCCAAGATATGTTTTGTCGTTGGATGTTTGAATGAAGATTTTCAACTGTTGGTTGTTTTGCTGACCAACGACCAAGGTATGAAGTATGGATATGAGTTAACCATGTAGAATATGCGCAAAATGTAACTGCAGTGTGGTAATGAAATTATTGCTGCTAGAATTAAAAGTGTACATATTAGAAATGATTATTTACTATCGCAGTATAAACGATTATTTATATTATGGTCCGGTGCAAAAAGATAGATACCTCGAAATTGATCGCTATCAAATCGCCTAGTTAAAGCTGTGTGCGACTTT